TGTACTTTGGAAATTTATATTTTAAAAAAAATTAAAAAAGAAGGTAGGTTAAGAGGGAATGGAAAAAAAGAAGGAATTTCATATTCTTTTAATTGTATGTATGAACTATATTGAATCTGTTAAAAGCTAAAAAACTGAAATAAATAATTAAAATCTTAAAAAAATGTCCATTTACCAAAAGCAATTTATAGATTCAATGCGATACCAATCAAAATACCAAAGACATTCTTCTCAGATCTGGAAAAAATGATACTGAAATTCATATGGAGACACAGGAGACCTCCCATGGAAGGTTCACTCTCCAAAATGGCTGCCATGGCTAGGGCTGGGCCAGGCCAAAGCCAGAAGCCTGGAATTCTAGCTCTGTCATGGGTGTCACAGGTGCAAATACTTGGACTATCTTCCTCTGCTTTCCCAGGCATGTTAGTGGTGGAGCTGAATCAGAAATGGGGCAGTAAGGACTTGAACTGGCACTCAAATGGTGTGCCAGCATTGCAGACAGCAGCTTAGCCTGCTGCACCACAATGCCGGCCTCCTTTCACCTTCTTCAATGTAGTCCTGGAAGTCTTTGCCAGAGCAACTACACATAGAAAGCAATAAAGGGCATCCAAATTAGAATTGAGGAAGTCAGATTATCATTGTCTGCAAAGGACAAAACCCAAACGGGGCCGGCGCCATGGCTCACTTGGTTAATCCTCCACCTGCGGTGCCGGCATCCCATATGGGTGCCGGGTTCTAGCCCCAGTTGCTCCTCTTCCAGTCCAGCTCTCTGCTGTGGCCCGAGAAGGATGGCTAAAGGGCTTTGGCCCCTGAAGCCGCATCGGAAACCAGGAAAAAATACCTGGCTCCTGGCTTCGGATCATCATAGCTCCAGCTGTGGAGGCCATTTGGGAGGTGAACCAGTGGAAAGGAAGACCTTTGTCTCTGTCTCTCTCTCACTAACTCTATCTGTCAAATATTATTAAAAAAAATAATAATCCCCCCAAACACCAACATTCCATCAAAAAGCTAGTAGGAAACAAGTCAACTTAGGGGAGGCAGTGGTGGCGCGGCACTGGGGGTATGGCCAAGGCCACAACTCTGCCCAAGGCCCAGTGGCAGAGCAGTTGGGAGAGCAGCAGCAGCCCCGGCATAGCCCAAGGCTATCCAATCCTCTCAAAGAAGTAATAAGGGGGTTCTAATATCCTGAATCTTTCATCTACAAAGAATGGAAAATTATCACCTCTCTCGCCCAAAAACCAGCAAAGTTAGTATTTTGACCGAAAAGAAAGACATGGAATTCAAGAGACTTGCGGACAATGAGGGGGATTACATTCCATAGGAAAGAATGGGACCTTGTTAACCCAACAATACACTCTTCTGACTGTTTTAATGTAAACATAGTTACAAAAACCACTCCAGAAAGGGAAAGCTCCCAACCCACATGCAGATAATTGCTTACTGTGTAGGCCAATAGCTGTGAACTACATGAGGTTTCTTAATTTTTAATTAATAGTTAAGATTTTTAGACATTACAGACACAACCCTATAACTTTTATCTTTTTCCTATTTTTCTTACTGTCTACCAATATTGCTGCATATGCCTTTAGAATCAATGCAGTATTATCCTTGAAACATGGACTCTTACCAACTCACAAAGCCACTTAGGAGCAGACTATAGCATTATTAGGTATTGAGGGTTCTTCTTCCTGCATCATTGAAGCTGCTCATCATCACTGGCAATCAATTTCAACCAAAAAGCTGCTGGATAACATTTGTCATTCCTATTCTTTGCAAGCACTCATCCTAGCATTTTAGCACATTTGAGGTCATAAAGAGAAGGTATCAGATATTGATAATCTTCTGCTGGGGCCATGCTATATTTCTTATCAACTATAACGTAATGATGCTCTTCATCTTCTGATAATTTTCCTTATTTATCAAAAAACTGTATTAAAAGATACTTTCCTAATGTCAGCCAACATGGTGGTCCAGGAATAACAAGCAGGTAGTAAAATACAAGGTGTCCAGAAGGTTAGTGCAGTTTTAAGCATTTGTGTGTGAGTGGGCCCTCCAGGACACTGTGGCAGAGGTGGACATGCTACAAACATAGATAGAACATCATGTGAAAGTTTAATTATATTTCTTTTAAACTTAGTTTTTTGTGAATTTGGAATATTAAGCTTTTGATTTTAATGTTTTGTTTCAGTCCCATCTACATTGCTTACACTGACTGAAACCCCCCTCCCCAAATAGAATTGGAAGTTTAAAATTCCAAATTTTTTCTCACTAGTCCAAGTGATCAATTTCAGTTCACAATTGATCACACTGATAGGTCTAAGAGTCAAAGGGTTCACACAAACAAGACTAGTGTCTGCTAGTACTAACTGATAGAATAAAAAAGGGAGAGAATGATCCTACATGGGAAGTAGGATACACAGCAGACTCATAGAATGGCAGATGCCCTAAACAGCACTTTGGCCTCAGAATCAGCCCTTAAGGCATTCGGATATGGCTGAAGAGCCCATGAGAGTATTTCAGGCATGGAAAGCCAAGACACTGGCAAAAAAAAAAAAAAAAAAAGAGGACCTAAATGAAAGATCTCTGCGAGTGAGATCCCAGTGGAAAGAATGGGCCGTCAAAGAAGGAGGCACCTTTCTCTGAAGGGAGGAGAGAACTTCCACTTTGACTATGACCCTGTCAGAATAAGATCGAAGTCAGCGAACTCAAGGGGCTTCCATAGCCTTGGCAACTCATCACTAGAGCCCAGGGAGATTACTGATGCCATAAACAAGAGTGTCAAATTGTTAAGTCAACAACAGGAGTCACTGTGTACTTACTCCTCAGGTGGGATCTGTCCTTAATGTGTTATCCAATGTGAAGTAATGCTATAACTAGTACTGAAACAGTATTTTACACTCTGTGTTTCTGTGTGGGTGCAAACTGATGAAATCTTTACTTAATATATACTAAATGATCTTCTGTATATAAAGATAATTGAAAATGAATCTTGATGTGAATGGAATGGGAGAAGGAGCGGGAGAAGGGAGGGATGCGAGTGGGAGGGAAGTTATGGTGGGGGGGAAGCCATTGTAATCCATAAACTGTACTTTGGAAATTTATATTTACTAAATAAAAGTTAAAAGGGGGTAGGGGGGAGAAGTCATAGGAGAGGAAAAGGAAGCAGCCAATATCAATAGAATTCCCACTATGTGTCGGGCACTGTGCTAGGTGCATTTGTGCATTATTGACTCTTATGACAAATCTAAGAGGTAATAAAGTGGTATGACTTATGGAAAAAAAAACTAAATAAGTCCAAAAGAAGGAAAGAAGTAACTGAGCTTTCAGATAATGTGCTGTATGTCAGTTTGTAGCATTTATACTTCAAAGCTTAGAGCAGCTTTAATAGTTTTGGAATACCTTGTTGTTGCCTAGGAAGAACCTCCCTTCTTAAAGTAGGCCTTTGCAGAGCTATACTCTCTCTGCTTGGATCACCTCCCTTTACTCTAGATCTGGTAAAGGAAGATTATGAAGAGCAGTGTTAATGCACATGTGATCAACAACAAGGAACTGGACCCTAAATTGTTGTAGGTGATGCAAAACGGTTGTTTAATCCCACACATTCACCTGACTGCAAGCGTCCCATTTCAATTCCTGCTATTTAAACGGGAACTTACATAAATCTTAGGAATCCTCTTAATACTTTAAAGGACAAGGAATACATAATGTTAGGGCATGGGTAACAACATCACCTTAGATTTTATATACTGGGAAAAAAATTAGTGTTCTCAACTATATGAAATCTGTTTCTTCTACCTTCTCAAGTATAATCCCAGGAATCTGACCTGTAAACAAAGCATTTCTGGACCAGAAATATTTTCTCTGAATATAGCAACACTTTACATGATATTGAGTATTATAGGTACCATCGTTTTTAAAGGACAGAGACATAAATAATGGTATATAAAATATTACAAATCTGCCACCTCAAAAAAATATCATTTATGCAGTTCAGATCTTGGAGATTCAAGTGTTGGTTGCAATTTTATTTTGAACAGAATGCTACAACTCACCTGATTTTTCTTGTGTTTATATTAAAGAAAGCCTCATAAACTCTATTTTAATTTTTAAAAAGCTAATAGAACTAATACATAAAACAATAAACAAATTGTACAAATTTACAGGATACAAACATACAAAATCAATAGCATTGTTATACATCCATAGTGAATTATATGAAAAAGAAATTAAGAAAGCAGTCCCATTTTCAGCATCTACAAAAGATAAAATAAAATACCCAGAAATAAGAGATGAAATGTCTCTACAATGAAAACTATTATGATGGAAAATATTGAGGAAGACAAAGGCAAAGGGAAAGAATGAATGGATGAATAAATGTCATTCAAATTTCCATACTACTTAATGAGATTTAGAGACTTAATACAATTTTTTATCAAATTTAGAGACTTAATGCAACTTCTTTTTTTTTTTTTTGAGAAATAGAAAAAAAAAAAGAGTGCTAAGTTTGCATAATACCACAAAAGACACAGAATAACCAAAGCAGTTCTAAGGGAAAAGGATAAAGCAGGAAGCATTAAACTACCTGATGTGGGGAGCCAGTGTGGTGTTATAGTGGGTTAGGCTGCCAACTGAGACACCAACATCACAACATCCCCTTTGGACATCGGTTCATGTCCCAGCTGCTCCACTTCCAGTCCAACTCCCTGCAAAGGCATTTGAGAAAGCAGTGTAATATGGATGGTCCAAGTACTTGGACCTCAGCCACCCATGTGGGAGACACAGATGGAGTTCCACATCCCTGACTTTGACCTGGCTAAGCCCTGGCAATTGTTGGCATTTGGGGAATGAACAAGTGCATGCAAGGTCTCTCTTTCGCTCTCTCTCTCTCTCTCTCTCTCTAACTCTGCCTTTCAAATAAATATTTTTTTTCCTTTTGGACAGGCAGAGTGGACAGTGAGAGAGAGAGAGAGACAGAGATAGAGAGAAAGGTCTTCCTTTTCCGTTGGTTCATCCTCCAATGGCCGCTGTGGCCGACGCGTTGCGGCTGGCACACCGCGCTGATCCGAAGCAGGGAACCAGGTGCTTCTCCTGGTCTCCCATGCATGTGCAGAGCCCAAGCACTTGGGCCATCCTCCACTGCACTCCCGGGCCATAGCAGAGAGCTGGCCTGGAAGAGGGGCAACCGGGACAGAATCTGGTGCTCTGACCGGGACTAGAACCCGGTGTGCTGGCACCGCAAGGTGGAGGATTAGCCTATTGAGCCGCGGCGCTGGCCTTCAAATAAATAAATTTTAAAAAGAGCTATGTGACTTTAAAATATATTACAAGGCATAGTAATTAAATCACCTTGGTTTGGGCAAAAAAGTCTATCTGGATCTCCCACATGTGCGGCAGGAAGACAGTTACCAGGACCATCATCTGTTGCATTCCCAGGGACATAAACAGAAAGCCAAGACTAGAACCGGCACTCCAATAAAGATGTGAGCATACCAAAAAGCTGCTTAATCCACTGCACCAGAACCCCCACCCCAAAATCATAGATTTTGTAGTCAATGAGACCCCTCAAGGATTCAGGTAGAAGGCATGGTATCAAAGAAGGATGAGAACATTTGTGTTCAGCAAAAGCACTCAGTGGAACATCATGCAGTTTTAGATCTCCTCTTTGCCCATGTTGAGAGTTTGTGTATGATGCTGAACAAAACTGAATGAGACACTTACCTGTCCCTTGATTTACCAACAGAGAAAGCTCAATTTAAAAAATGGCTACTACTGCAATTTCTCTGAAACTGCCACCAAATAGATCAAGGACATTTCTCAGGGGGGAAACATATTGTTTATAGGAACAGCTAGCTGTTGATTTGGAAGAATCCGGAATAGTGGATAGCAAATATGGCTATTCTAAGATTTTCTAATATTTTTGTCCCTTTCAGTTGGTCTCCAGGTTACTGTGACTTGTACTACCAGTGTAACTGCAAAAATGGTTATCTCTTTAAATCAGGCTATCTTATAGTTAACATAATGGCCATGGAACGCTGGACACACTGTGACCAATTATATCCAAACAATGTAAAACTGTCTTGCCTGAACTTTGAGCTTTTGGATTTTGATCAGTCCAGTTCCTGGAGATTTAAGTATACTTCAGATTCAAAGTAATTTTTTATCAGGACTCAACACAAGACACAATCAGACTTCCTTTTAATCACCTGACTTTTTTTAAAAAAGGGAGAACAAAAACAAAATGAAAGTGAAACGGAGTTCTTTATTTCCTGCCTCTCCGAGGATAAATACAGTCCCAATTCACACATAGAGAACCTAACGCCCAACGCCGGGCTGGAGCTCTGAATCAGCAACCTACCACCCTCTGGGAAGGAGCTCACTCCACCAGATCTCTCTGTGGCAGCTAGGAACGTGGCCTCAAGGAGACAGGTAGGTGAAGAACAAAGTGGGAAATAGGGTAGATAAAACAGCACATGCAAAGACTAAAATGGAACAGAAATTGATGGAAATAGTCAGAGGGAACAATCAAAGATACAGGGAAATTAAGACATGCAAAGAATCAGCTGTTAAAACAAAGAATGAAATCCTGTCTTTCTCAACATAGTGAGTGCATCTGGAAACCATTATACTTTTGAGATAAGCCAGTTCCAAAAAGATAAATATCATATGTTTTCCCTAATCTGTGATAACTAACAGGGTATAGAAAATATAATATATATGAGCAAAAGAGACATTTTGAGATTTTTAAAATATTTTTATTTATTTATTTGAGAGGTAGAGTCACACAGAGAGAAAGTCTCCCATTCACTGCTTCATTCCCCAAATGGCCACCACAGCTGGAACAAAGCCGATCTGAAGCCAGGAGCTAGGAGCCTCTTTCAGGTCTCTTACTGGGTACAGGCCATAATCAGAGCGGGGATCAGAAGAAGAGCAGCTGGGACATGAACCAGCACCCTTATGGGATGCCGGTGCCACAGCCAGAGGCTTAGCCTACTATGCCACAGCACCAGCCCTGACATTTTCAGATCTGATTATTGTTTACAGCCCTTGTCTCCACTGTTGAGGAACAGTGTTTTTATTTCTTCTTGCTATTTTTTGAAATCTTTTCTTAGTGGAGTGTTAAGCTGATGATTATAAAATAAACTGAAAGTATGTCATTGTAAAAATTAAGAGAAAGAATAAGAAAGGAAAGAGGAGGGAGACGGGACTGTAGGCGGGAGGGAGGCCAGGTTGAGAAGTATCACTGTGCTCCTAAATCTGTATATATGACATGCATAACATTTGTTCACCTTTTATAGATTATAAAAATTGAAAAAAAAATAAAGAACATCTACCAAAAAAAAGAGAGAGACATGCAAGGAACACAGATATGAATGCTCCAAAAAACAATTCTCAATTCCAGTTTCTAGCTAAGTCATACCCTGCGAGGCAACCAATGATGGCTCAAGTAGTTGGGGCCAGCATTCATGTGGGATGCCTGGATTAAGTTCCTGGCTACATTGTGGCTTTCTCCTGGCCCAGTTTCATCTGTTGCAGGCATTGGGGGGAATTAATTTCCCAGCACACTGAAAGTCCTCAATAAGCGTGTGAAATGAATTCTAGCATTTTTAGCATATTTTTGCTAAATCTCTAGTACATATTTTGTGTGGTCAAATTTAGTGATAGACACATTATCATGATGGTAGATGACAGGAGAGCCAACAAACGATGAATGGAATGAAAATGTAGGAGACATCCAGGCTTAGTAATTTGAATGTATTGGGCCTATGAGAACATTTTTAGAAAAAAGTGAAAGCATAATGAGACAAGTTAGAAACGGGGAGGGTGCATTCATAAATTCATTTCAATAGGAAGCATTTATTGACCCAGGCATGTAGATTTAAAGTACTTTTTTGAGAAACCTGGAAACTGTGTAAATATAAAGAGTACAAAAAATTATAAAGTAAGGAGGATCCAGTCTGTGCAGAAATAGAACATGAGCATATGTTTTTATGTAACATAAAGGAAAGTAAGATGCTCAAAATCCTCAAGATATATATAACAAGACTAAAGGGAAGGTGAACAAGATTAAGAGAACAGAGTCAGTACTGTAAAGAGGCTAGGGACATTTCTTCCTTGGGGATGTAAGAGACAGAGAGAGAGAGAGAGAGAGAGAGAGAGAGAGAGATCCCCTCTATCACCCATTAGTGCTTATGTGGCCTTTAAGTTACATCTAAGATTTAAATTAACATAAGGCTGATCAATAATAGAAAGGTATACACATCTTATTAAATTTGTTAATGAACAACTTAATACATTATCCCTCTTAGTAGTTTTTTTTTTGTCAGTTCTACTTAATATGACTGGTTTAATTCTGTAATTAATACACAGTTATTCTTAAGTGTTGAAATTTAACTGAAATGTGATCCCTGTTAAACATAAGAGTAGGAATAAGAGAGGGAAGAGATGTACAATTTGGGACATGCTCAAGGTGACTTGCCCCAAATGGTAGAGTTAGAAACATACCAGGGGACTCCAATTTAATCCCATCAAGGTGGCATGTACCAATGCCATCTCACTAGTCCAAGTGATCAATTTCAGTTCACAATTGATCATAATGAAAGGACTAAGAGTCAAAGGGAGCACATAAACAAGTCTAGTACCTGCTAATACTAACCGACAGAATAAATAAAGGGAGAGTGATCCAACATGGGAAGAGAGATACTCAGCAGACTCATAGAATGTCGGATGTTGTAAACAGCACTCTGGCCTCAGAATCAGCCCTTAAGGCATTCCAATCTGGCTGAAAAGCCCATGAGAGTATTTCAGGCATGGAAAGCCAAGACACTCTGGCAAAAAAAAAAAAAAAAAAAAAAAAAAAAAAAAAACCACCTAAATGAAAGATCTCTGTGAGTGAGATCCCAGTGGAAAGAACAGGTCTTCAAAGAAGGACGTACCTTTCTCTGAAGGGAGGAGAGAACCTCCACTTTGACTATGACCTTGTCTAAACAAGATAAGAGTCGGAGAACTCAAAAGGCTTCCATAGCCTTGGAAACTCATGACTGGTGCATAGGGAGATTACTGATGCCATAAACAGGAGTGTCAATTTGTAAAGTCAACAATAGGAGTCACTGTGCACTTACTCCTCATGTAGGATCTCTGTCCTTAATGTTTTGTACATTGTGATTTAATGCTATAACGAGTACTCAAACAGTATATTTCACTTTGTGTTTCTATGGGGGTGCAAACTGTTGAAATCTTTACTTAATGTATACTAAACTGATCTTCTGTAAAAAAAAAAGAAGAAATTAGCAATTCCCAACTTGACTCTCACTGGGATTAAACATGACAATAGGTCTGATCTGATTTCATCATCATTTAAAAAATCATCTATTATTTTTCACTTTATGTTTCTGTGTGGGAGCAAACTGTTGAAATCTTTACTTAATGTATGCTAAACCGATCTTCTGTATATAAAGAGAATTGAAAATGAATCCTCATGTGAATGGAAGGGGAGAGGGAGTGGGAAAGGGGAGGGATGCGGGTGGGAGGGACGTTATTGGGGGGGAAGCCATTATAATCCATAAGTCGTACTTTGGAAATTTATATTCATTAAATAAAAGTTAAAAAAAAAATTGCATGTAAGTGAGCATCTTCCCGAGAGAGTGAAATCTAAAGAGATGACCAAGGCAAGATACTTTAAAACTTTGAGACACGGAACAATACATTTGAGAAGGAACAGATCTCTGAATTAGGGTAGCAAATTCTAGGGATTTCAATAAAAGACATGAGAAAAGGCTATAAAAGCCAGCGGAGGAGCCTGCACTGTGATGCAGTGGGTTAAAGCCCCAGCCTGCAGCGCCAGCATCCCATAGGGCACTGATTTGAGTCCCCACTGCTCCTCTTCCGTTCCAGCTCTCTGCTATGGCCTCGGAAAGCAGTAGAGGATGGCCCAACCCTTTGGGCCCCTGCACCCACATGGGATACCTGGAAAAAGCTCCTGGCTCCTAGTTTTGGATCAGCTCTGGCCATTGCGGTCTTTTGGGGAGTGAACAGGAGGAATGGAAGACATCTTTCTCTCTCTCTCTCTCTCTCTCTCTCTCTCTCTCTCTCTCTCTCGGACTTTGTCCATATTGTCAGTGGCCATTGGCAGGGTCATGGCAGGGAAATATATGGGTTTTTCCTTCCTCCACCTTGACAAAGCACTAATACTTGCACTATGGAAGTACTGTATTCCAGGGAATGCTGCCCACATCTGATAGAGGAGTCATCATAGATGTGGGATTCTCAAGGTATCATCATAAATGAATGCATGGTGGTACATGCCAGGGGCAGGAAAATTAGACTAGAGCCTGCTAGGCTAAAGAGTAGGTACTTCTGCTTGAATAGATAGCAATAATATAGACTAAGATCCAGATACTTTTTCTGTACAGAATTTCAAGCCAAGTCCCTGCCACCCCAGTGAAATGATGTAAATACTACGCTGACAGACAAGAGTTAGTGAGGAATACTGACCAACTACTGCAATCAGCAAAACTTCCCAGGAAGTCCATCCAGAGATTCTGTTCCCCCATTACCACAAACCTATCTGCTGTCCAAAGTCAGCACTACAGATGCCCCCAGGTCCCAGGACTCCTAAGATTTATCAGTGAATGATACATGTATTCTCATGCCAGTAGTACACTGTTCTGATTTTTGTGGCTTTGCAATGAATTTTGAAATCTAGAAGTGTGACTTACCAATTATGCTTTTAATGTTCAATATTACTTCGGCTACTTTGGGTCCCCTGTACTTCCATATACATTTTAAGAACAGGTTTTTAACTCCTGGAAGAAATGGCCATGGCATTTCAGTAGAAATTACATAGGAAAAATATATCCTTTTGGAGTGTACTAACATCTAAACAATACTAAGTTTTCTAATCCATGAACACAGGATGTTTTCCCCTTACATAGGGGTTCTTAATTTCTCCAGCAATATTTTCTAGTTTTCCAAGTATGTGTCCTTGACAATGTTTATACCTAAGAATTTTAGTCTTTAGTATGCTGTTGTAAATTAAATTATTTATTTCTTATTTGATTATTCACTGCTAGAGTGTAGAAATACAACTGATTTTGTGTGAACTCAAATCATAAAAGTTTGCTGAATTTGTTAATGTGTTTGTGCATGTATTCTTCAGGATTTTCTCTATATAAAATTGTATTACCTGCAAATAGGGACAGTGTCATTTCCTTCTTTATAATTTGAATGTTTTTCCCCCCTTCTTTTGCTTAATTGTTCTGGTCAGAACTAGGGCTACAATGCTAAATAGAAATGATAAAAATGTATGTCTTTGTCTTATTCCTGATTTAAGAAGGAAGGTTTTCAGACTTTCACTATTGAGTATAATTTTAGCTATGAGATTTTTTGCATTAACATCTATTATATCAAGAAAGTAACCTATATTTCTA